CGTTCCCCTCTGTTTTTGTCCCTACAACTACCTCCTTGATCCGGTATTTAGGGAGACGGTACGTTGTAAATATGGTTAAGCAAAAGTGAAGTTGAGTTTGCACTGACACTGGTTATTGGAATAGGTAGAAAGTGAGATCTCCGGCAGTGTAATCATAATTGATGAGGCCCACAATATTGAGGATGCAGCGCGAGCGGCCACTTCGGTGACTCTGTTGGAACGGGAGGTGTTGACGGCCTCAGAAGATCTGAAGCGCTGTTTCCCTCTTCTACAGTCGACTAGTGATGTCCTGGCCGGGGATGTGAAGGCTCTGATCAACCTTCTTAGCGCTATCCACCAAGTCATGATGCTTACACGCCCACGTCTCGTTGCAGCCGGTAGTTTTGCATCTTCTGCCCAGGTCTGGTCGGACACTGAGATCAAGGGCCTTCTGTCCACTGTGGGCCTTGGTGTGGATCGCTTTGAGACCGTACGGGTGAGAGGTTGTCTTATGATTAAAGCATTAATTTTAATGCAGGAAGCCATTAAAAGTATTTTGACACTTCCTTTATCTGGTATGCTTCGATGCCTTCGTGCTCATGTTTCACTAATTTTTCAATCTACTGAAGTGACGGGAGAAAGTAGCATATAGCACAATATAAGTATCAAAACATATCAATGTCCTGTCGAAACGAATCGATTACGATAGGTATCTTTTGTCGTTGTTTTCGCAGGACAGATCGTACAGTTCTGTTTGCTCTTTCGTTATCATCGGACTAATTCTTTCGTAATTTTTTTGCTTTAAACATTTTACAAATAAGGCTACTTCTTTCAGACTATCTTTGGAAGTTAGGAAAATATTGATAATAATGGCTTGGTCATTTAGCACTTTTAGGGTTTCCAAGACGGTAGTTATTTCTAATTTGTCAGCGTAGGTGCTTTGGAGTTGAAATGAATTCGCTGTTCCATTTTCTCTGCTGTGTAATTCGTCACGGGGTTCAATCATGCGTTCAAAAGATATGGGAAAGTCTTACAACCTTTTCTTATTGAATGATAGGATTACGTTATGACCATTCATTATTAACTCGGCTTTAGATGCTTGTAGGTGTTCATGATCGCAGCAATGTTTCATTGTTATTAAGCAAGAGGAGCGCTCTAATAGTGCATGGGAGAGCTTGTGAACCAGACGCGCCCGAATGTCTGTTTAGCAAAAGACACTAATGAACAATAGCATCGTGTCTGGCCTACACCTACTCCGAGAACCAGTAACGAAATATTCTATAAGCATTATCACATTAGGCGTCTTAATATTTGATGACTTTATCAAATGCTATGTTTAAGACATTGTATCTTTGCTGTCTAGCTGTGTACTATGTTTCGCGATTTCGCTTTTTGTAGAGGAGCTTTAATCGGCTGAATAACATGATTCAGAAGGAGGCAGCGTTTAATCGTGATTCTTCCAGACTGCAAAGCGACTCGAGGTTCCCCAATTCTGCCACGATCCGCCTTTTCGCCTACATCTTCACTATGCTCAAGTTTTTATACAGGTAAGTGGGGTTTTCCGATGGTTAATTGAGGGCATTGATGTGTGTTGATTCTGCGATGAATTAATTTTTGGGTCGTTCTAAGCATTCATTTTTAATCTTTTTTAAAATATTTCTATGCTCCTTTTCAGACGATTTAAAAACTGTTTTAGTAGAATGCGAGGTCCGACCTATGGTAATTTCTGTAGTTCTTGCGTTTTCTTGCTGTTTGGTTTTAAGCGATGACATGTATCGCATCCGGAACTACAGAGCCGTTTTGATGGAAGTCGTCAATTTTGAAAGACAACCTCTGGGAGAGGATCTTGACAGTTCCAACGTCTCAATAAACCAGTGGGTGAGCAAGGCACGAGGCGCCAAGGTAAGTGAATTTCATACACAAATTGTAACAAA